GGAGAGATTCAAGGCACTCACAGACTAGGACAAGTATGAGGGCTCACAGAAGGCAAGTGTGAGGGGCCATTCCTAAAACAATTGTAACAACAGCTGACGTTTGACAAAGAAACAGAAGTTGGCCCAGATACATCATTTTCCCAAAAGAACCTTCTTTCCTGGCACCAATTAAGTTGTAAGACTTAATTTCAGTTTCCCATAATAACCAAAGACCCCTCCCCAAAAGAAATCAAGGGAAAGGAACAATAAAAATTTGATTTTAATGATACAGAAATAGTATATAATACATTTCTTTCCACAGCAGCACTTCATTCATCTCTAAAAAATTTAACAAAATTAAGGCTAAATCAGAGTAATCTGATAGCAAAGGGATATTTTATGTGGCATTATTATTGAATAAATTTTTCATAAATATAGGATGTTCTTCAGGCAAAAAAATAAAGAAAAATGTTGACCAAGATACCAGAAATGGGAAATGCAGTATAAAATAGGTTCCTTTATAACAATTATTAATAACTACAACTTCCCTGGGAAGTTTCAAATGGAATTTTTTAAAGAACAAATGTTTATGATATGATACTAAGGCTTTCTGGAGTCAAAATTCTACAGTACTGGGCATTTTTATAAAATAAAACCAAGGACAGCTGAGTTTCCATCACAATCCTTTTAGAAAAAATAGAAAATAAAAGTGTTCAGTGTTTAAAATTGCAAGAAAACTATCTGAAGCTGTGATGCTAGAAAGGAGAATCCTTTCCTCACACACACCCCCACTAGCCCTCCCCCCCTTCAAGTTCTTGGAGGAAATGGAGACTTTCCAACCTGGGGACACAATGCTGTCATGGCAGCCAAGAGTGGGAGCTGGAAATTGAACTGGGTTTATGAAGTAACCTAGCTACAGTGCTGTACTGTGGTCAGGAGAGGAGCGGTCTTCTCCCCCACTTTCATAGTAATCCATGGTCTCTTAGGCTGACAAACATTTTACTTCCTGACTCCGAACTGAAGCCAGGCAGTCTCTTTCTCTCTCCCCAGTAAAACATCAGAACTGGGAAGCCCCAAGTGAACTCCAAGCATGACGCTTCACTCTCAAAACTACTGGTCTCTGACAAGTGGCAGGACCCTTAGTCATGGGAGCCTGCTTTCACATGCCACCTTGCCACAGCTGCTGGAGCGGTTTAGCCTCTTCCCTTCCCCACCCCACTTTGTACTTTCACATCTGTTTCTCCACCACTGCTTCCCACTTGCTTTTGGGAATTTGTGTATTATTTTCATTGACTGAGAATTGTGAGTGTGTTGTGAATATTACTAACTCCTAGAAAACACGGTCTTATTTTTAACTATAAGCTTTCTTGTCCACCTACTTGTTAGCAAAGTCATCTTACTCCATGACAAGAGGACCTGTTATACTGAAAGAAGAATCTTCTATAATTTTTCAATTTTCATCATAAAATACAAGCTAGTAAGAAATACTGTATTGTTTTCTTTAGCTTTACATAACAATTTTGTGTTTATATTCCTTTGGTTCCTCAAGGCTCAATTTCCCCTAAAGAAATAGAATGGAGGGGAAATCGTCAAGTAAATAATATCAAATATCCTCTTAAGAATTACTTGTTTTCTAAAGACTGATAAAACCTCCAAGAAAGAGCAGACTGAGGTGCATATACTGAAATGCATTTCTGATTATAAATTCATTTGTAAACAGGTAGACAATATGATCAATGTACAACTACCCACATTTATGTAGATTAAGTGACACAATAGCATTAAATGAATACACAATCACAGAATGAGAAAGGATCTCTGAAATTATCCAATTCAGTGACTTTCAAATCTGGCTGTAACCGGGCTAGTTAATAAAAAGTAGAGCCTTTTATTACTAAATTCCCTACATCCCATTCATGGAGAGCCAGAACTAGCAGGCTTGACTTGGAATCCAGAAACCTATTTGTTTTCCTAAAAATTCCAACAGCCCAACCTCTCCATTACACCAAGGAGCAAATTAAGGCCCAAAGAAGTTGAAATGCTTGTCCAAGGTTGCAGAACAGCCCAGGATTCCACCGCTTTTTCTGTTATACCACAGTGCCTCCTAGAGCCTTCCCCAGACCTACCGCCTATACACCAGAGCTAAGTACTCAACAATATAAAATAATATGAAAGAACAGCTGTTTTGTAGTTAAAATGAGCTAAAACACTGTCTGAGAGCAGACACCATGAATTATATTCCTTCCAACACAACTACAAGTCAATAAACACTAGTCAGATGCCAGTTGCTCAGCCAAGACCTGATACTCCAACTCACATCTGTCTCCAGTCATCCAAGAAATGCAAACTTATCTAGTTGGCTTTCAAGAGCCAGCCAAATTGGGTAATGACTTTTTAATCTATAAATAAGTCAAGTTCAAGTAGCCAGGATTTGAGTAACAATACAAATTCTGTCACTATGTCTTCTCCTTGTTTTTGAATTTCCTGGGGGATAAAAGTATCCAAAGGGTAGGAAAAACTTGATCAGTTACCTATGACATTTGGCAAACATAAATTGTAAAAATACTCAGGTATTCTAAGAAAACAATTCTTAGTAACTGTAACAACTATATTATATGGATTTTTCTTACTGTTTCTTTTGATTTTCAATATCTTTTAATCTCACAAAGCAATGGCTTATAGATGGAGTCAAACTGCTTTGTAAAGCTGGACACACATAGCTTCAGTGTAATACCATGGGGGCTCTCTTCCGGTTCTCTCCCCATATATGTAAATACATACACAGCTACACACACACATACATTTATTTGAAGATGGAGGGAAATGATATGTTACATTTTCTATTTGCAGCGGTGCTATAAATAAAATGTTTCTATCATGTTGTCATCTTGATTGTAGATATGATCAAGGATAACCAAAACAGTTAAAAAGCAATCAGGAAAATATTACTTAAAACATAAAATTATATAAGTTACATAATAAATCAGCAGGAACATCAGCCACCCTTGCCATGCAGCCCAGCTCTGATCAGGTCCCTGGGACACACCAAGCTCTTTCCAAACATGGAAGAGGAAGGAACCAGAACACAGAGGCAGGGCAGAAGCCTTTCAGACTGGCATCCTAGAGCTCAGAAGCTAGGGAAAGGTCCCTGCCTCCACTGGGACCACCTGAGATGGCTCCCGTTACTCTGTTCCCAAGTAACACTAAAAAGAAGTCAAGCGCCATCTAAAAAATTCGAGAAATAATTTACAGCTGAGGGTCCTCCCATCGGAAAGCACTCATGCAAACCGTATGTATTAAATCCTTTCTTCTTTAAGTCTGGTAGGGAAAGACTGGAAGGAGACTTCCCTCAGCTTTGATTCTGGTGAACTGTTAATAGAAAATAACCGTGTTATCCTCTCTCTTTTTTTAAGTGTAAAACCTATTCATCGGTTTGTAATTATGCCTCCAGATGAATTTTAAAATCATACTGATAAGCTCATTCATCCATGTGTTCATTCGACCCATATTTATTAAATGATGGCTAGACTCTCCATTGTTAGAGCCAGAGGAGACACAGTCCAGGGCGCCTTTCCCTCAAGCCTCTGCTCTCACGGCCAGTCCACCACACCAACCTATGGATTTGGCAGTAAGAAACTCGATGCAAAATGTATGTGCTTTTTTCATTTCAAAAAGTGCAAACAATTATAAGATAAAAGAATTTTTGTAACTTCCTATGCTTTAATAAATATCATAAAAATGCTAATAAATATCAGCAAAATGGAATGATAAAACTGAAGGGTAAAAGTACCTTTAAAAGATAGTAATTGCAGGGTTTGTAAAGATTTCTTTTTTTGTTGTTTTTTTTGGTATTAAGTATTTTATAAAGTTATATGCTAGAGGCATATGACAACTTTCCTGTCTTCCTGCATGGTTAGGAAGCCAGGGCTCCTGGAAGTCATTCTAGAAAGACAACAATACCACAGAACAATACTCTGAGGCTACACATGCCACAGCACTGACATTTATAACCTAGGGTTCTAGCCTACAACACCCACTTGTGGTCTGTACACACACTAGGGAGACTAGCTAAGAAAACATCCATTTGCTATTTATTTAATTAAAAGGAGGAGGGCACTGCTAATAACATTGCACTAAATTATGATTTAGAACTGTCATTATCTCAAGTGAAACTAAACTGGATTGAGTAAGGGTATTGGCTGACCAAATTTAAGTTCTAGAAAATCTTATTTAAAACAGAGGTTTAGATACCCAATATTACTTTTAAGGGACAATTTAATAAGTAATTCTATGAGGGGGCTTCAAAAAGTTCATGGAAAAATGGAATTAAAAAATAATGGAAATTTTCTGTGGACTTTTGGAATCCCTCTGGTATATGCCAAATTCTTGTCTTCTGGAGCCTCTATCAGTGTAAGGACCACAGCATTATACTTAGTACCCCATCCTTTTATAAAATGTATTGTGTCTTGTCCCACAAAATAGCTGAAGCGCCTTAAAAAAAAAAAAAAGAAGAAAACTTGTTGGCTGGTTGACAGCTATTCCTAAGTACCCTAATTCTCCAGGAAAATTACAATAAAAAAAGGACACTTTATAACAGAATCACTCAGTTATCTCAAAACTAGAACAAACAGAAAACATGTCCACTAAGGGATCGTGAATCTTTTTTTGACCACTATTGCAGAAATGCAGGAACTCAGCAGGATTGCAGACATGCAGGAATCAGCACTATTTGGGAGTTAACAAGTCAAACTCAGTACAATGTTAACAACTGGATTGAAAATAGACTCTTAATCAAACCCAATGCTTTCATCCTCAAGGCCACCATTCACTACAAAGAAAAAGTGATTTCACATCACTGGACCATAAAGAAGACGTGTTTATTTACCTTCTTAATGGTTTTATACTGTCACAATTAAAATGTTATGCTTCCAAAAATATATAATCAATGCACTTAACTTAAAGCTTCAGGAATTAATAACTTCATATAGACTTCTTAAAAAACCAACACAAACATACTTTCTAGAGTGCAAAATGCTTCTTATTAAATACTTTAGTAACACAAAAGCAATTTGTTTTTAAACACAGGAATCCTTTTCAGGAGGATTCTCCTCACAAAAACATCCATTGCCGGCAATGGACGTTGAACAACTGCCAGCTCAAGTAAAATGCAACATTACAATTCTGCATTCAGTTTCTTCACCTATCTGGTGACCCCATTTATTTATATAAACTCATTGTTGGACTCTGGTACATGCACATGTAGGCATCACAAAGAAGTCTTCGTGCACATCCTTGGATTCGTCTGGAGTCTAAGGAATGCAGCTCCTCTAGCGACATTTTCAAGTACTCTCCTACTTCTGGGCATGGGGTGACTTGTGGAATGTTGAAGCCATTCTGACCTCCTACAAAGAAGAGGAAAATCTCTTTTTAGGCTTATGAAGTTCCAAACCCCTACTTGCTGACCCACCAAAACAATTTCACAAGCCTTTGGATTTAGTAAAGGCTAATGTTCAGGAGCTCTGGTAGTGTAGTGGTTATGAATCGGGCTGTGAACCGCAAGGTCAGCAATTTGAAACTGCCAGCTGTTCTGCGGGAGAAAGATGAGGCTTTCTGCTCCCATAAAGATTTACAGCCTCAGAAACCATGTACAGGGTTACTATGAGTCAGAACCGACTCCACGGCACTTAACAACAAAACAACAACAATTTTCAGGATCAGAAAAGTCCTTATTTTATTTCTGATTTCTAGAAGTTAATGCCTCTTTTTAGTTCTTGAAAGTAAATAAAGTTGGTAAAAGCCCAAAGCCTACTTATGGGCTTCTCTCGGCATTCAATTAGAGACTAACAATATGTTCACTGAATTCTTCACATTTCCATGAGTGTGGTTTTAGAATTCTAGGAAAGGCCCCTCCTGTTTAGCTCTTCCAATGGTTTAGTATGAAACACAAGCTCTGAGGTCAGAAAGACAGAGTTAAACAGAGCTCTGGTAGTGTAGTGTTTACGAGTCAGGCTGCTAACCTCAAGGTCAGCAGTTCAAAACTACCAGATGCGACTTTCTGCGCATGTACAGATTTACAGCTTCGGAAACCCTATACAGGGTCCACAGCACATGACCAGCACCATGTGAACTTGTTAGTGCTGCAGTTAGATGGTACTGAGTCGGTTCTCATTCACAGACGCCATGGACAACAGAACAAGCACTGCCTGCTCCTGCGCCATCCTCACACTCGTCTGAACCGATTATTGTAGCTACTCTGCCACTTCATCTCATTGAGGGGCTTCCTCTTTCTTGCTGACCCTCTACTTAGCATGTTGTCCCTATCCAGAGATTCATCCAAAGTACATGAAATCTCGCTATTCTCAATTATAAGGAGCTGGGGTGACACTATAGGATCAGCACTGGACTGTGAACCACAAGGTCAGCAATTCAAACCCACCAGATGCTCCTCAGAAACTCCATACAGGGTTGCTATTGTTAACTAACAACAACAACAAGAAGGAGCATTTGGCTGTAACTTTACCAAGACATATTTGTTTGCTGTTCTGGAAGTCCATGGTATAGTAAATACTCTTTGCTATAATTCAAAGGCATCAATTCTTATTCATTATCCAGTATTCTCCTGCATATTGAGACAACTTGGGTACAGGTGCACCTTAGTTCATGAAGTGACATCTTTGGATTTTAATACTTGAAGAATTTTTTGCAGCAGATTTACCCAATAAAATATGTTGTTTGATTTCTTGACTGCTGTTTCCATAGGCTTTGATTATGGATCCAAGTAAAATGAAATCCTTGACAACTTCAGTATTTCCCCCATTTATCATAATTTTGTTCATTGGTCTAGTTGTGAGGATTTTGGTTTGCTTTAAGCTGAACTGTAACCCATACTGACGGCTATAGTTAACTTCCTCAGTAAGTGCTTTAAGTCTTCTTTGCTTCAACAAGCAAGATTGTATCATCTGCACATTGCAGGTTGTTAATGAGTCTTCCTCCAGTCCTGATGCAGTGTTCCACTTCATCTAGTCCAGCTTCTGGGATCAACTGCTCAGCATACAAATTAAATACATATGGTGAAAGGACACAACCCTGATACATCCCATTCCTGATTTTAATCACTCCCCCTTGATGTACGCACAGGTTCCCCATGAGCACAAATAAGTTTTCTGGAATTTTTTCTTCCAATGGTATCCATAATTTGTTATGATCCACACTGTTGAATGCATTTGCATATTCAAAAAAACACAGGTAAACATCTTTCTGGGATTCTTTGTTTTAAGCCAAGACCATCTGACATCTCTATCATCAACTATGATATCTCTAGTTCCATGTCTTCTTTTGAATCCAGCTTGACTTTCTGGCACTTCCCTGCCAATGTACTACTACAAACATTGTTTAATTTACCTTCAAAGCTGTTTCTGAATGATTTTATTTGTGTGTATTATTAATGATATTATTTGGTAATTTCTACATTCTATGATCAATAGACTACGCACAGAATTTTTATTTTTCTTTTTTTGAATGGGCACAAATATATGGATCTCTTCCAGTTATCTGGCCACGTCTTCCAAAGTTTTTGGCATACCTAAGTGAGCACTTCCAGCATTGTATCCATTTGCTGAAATATCTCAATTGGTATCCTGTCAATTCCTAGAGACTTAGTTTTCACCAACGCCTTCAGTGTAGCTTGGTCTTTTTCCTTCCATATCATTGGTTCTTGATCACATGGTATCTCCTGAAATGGGTGGACACTGACCAAATCCTTTTTGGCACAGTGACTGTGTACTCCTTCCTGGGTTTCTTAATACTTTGCTCACAGAATCTTTTAATATTCTAAATTGAAACTTGAATTTTTCTTCCATCTTTTAAGCTTGAGAAATGCTGATTGTGCTTTCTAACTCCAGGTCTTTGAACATTTCATTATTTTACTCTGACTTCTCCAGCCACCATTTGAAATCTTCTGTTTAGCTTTTTCATCATCCATCATTTCTTCCTTTCACTTAAGCTACTCTATATTCAAGTGCAAGCTTCAGAGTCTCTTCTGACATCCATTATGGTCTTTTTTGTCTTTCCTGTCCTTTTACTGACCTTTTGCTTTTTTTCATGAATGATGTCCTTGATGTCATCTCACCACTCATTGTGGTCAATGCATCAAATGTATTCTAGAGATGGTTTCCATATGCAAGAGGAATATTCGCAAGGCCGTACCTTGGCTCTTTTGTTTTCTTCAGAGCAAAAGGAACTTGCAAATATGAGCAACTGATGGTCTCAAGTCAGTCCCTAGCCTTTTTCTGACTGATGATATTGAACTTTTCCATCATCTCTATCCACACATGTAGCCAATTTGATTTTTGAGTATCCCATTCAGCAAGGTCCATGTGTACACTTGCTATTTATGTTGCTGAAAAAGGAATTTGCAGTGAATAAGTTGTTCATGCAAAATTCTTTCATGTGATTCCTAACATCATGACTATTACCAAGGCCATATTTTCCAACTACTGATTCTTCTTAGTTTCTAACTTTTACATTCCAATCACCAGTAATTATCAGTGTATATACTGATTATGTATTTGATGGGTTTCAGACTACAGATTGGTAAAAATTTTCAATATCTTTACTTTTGGCACTAGTGGTTGGTGTGCAAATCTGAATAATAGTATTGAGAGACACATAGATTGAGAGACACATAGATATTTACTTACTACTGACAGTGTTGTACATGAGGATAGATCTTGAAATGATACTTTTGATAATGATTGATTGCCCTTTTCAATTTGTCAATCCCAGTACAGTAGACCATATAAATGTCTGATTGAAATGGGCAATACCAGTGCTTTTCAGCTCACCACTGTATGTTGTTGTTGTTAAGTACTGTCAGTTGGTTCCTACTTATAGTGACCATATGCACAACAGACTTAAAAACTGCAGTGTGCCACCTTCATAAATGTTACATTTCAGCCCACTGCTGCTGGTAGTGTGTCAATCTATCATGTTGGGGGTCTTTTTCTTTTTTGCTGACCCTCTACTTTATTAAACATGATGCCCTTCTCCAGGAACTGGTCCCTCTGATAACATGTCCAAAATATGACAGACTTTAAGACTCATCATACTAGCTTCTAAGAAGCATTTTTGGCTGCACTTTTTCAACACAGATTTGATTGTTCTTCTGGCAGTCCATGGCACTTTTAACATTCTTCTCCAACACCAAAACTCAAATGCATCAATTCTTTTATGGTCTTCCTTATTCACTGCCCAACTGTCACATGCATATGAGGCTACTGAAAATACTCGGGCTTGGGTCAGGCACACCTTAGTCCTCAAAACTGGCATTTTTGCAGATTTGCCTAATGCAATATGTCACTTGATTTCTTGACTGCTGCTTCCGTAAGTGTTGATTATGGATCCAGGCAAAATAAAGGATTGACAACTTCAATTATTTCTACATTTATTGTTATATTATTTATTGGACTGATTGTGAGGAACTTTGTTTTTGTTACATACAGCTGCAACCTCCATCAATAAGTATTTTATGTCCGCTTTGCTTCCAGCAAACAAGGTTGTATTATCTGCATATTGCAGGTTGTTAATGAGTCTTCCTCCAATCATGATGCCTTGTTCTTCTTCATAAAATCCAGCTTCTTACATTATTTGCTCAGCATACTGATTGAATACGTATGGTGAAAGATACAGTACTACGGCACACCTTTCCTGATTCTAAAACACTCAGTTATCCCCTTGTTCTGTTCAAATGAATGCCTCTTGGCCTATGTCAGATTCCTCATGAGAATAAATTAAGTGTTCTGGAATACCCATTCTTCACAAAGTTATCCATAGCTTGTCATGATCCACACAATTAGAAAACCTTTGCATACCTAATAAAGCACAGACAGACATCTTTCTGGTAATCTCTGCTTTCAGCTAACATCCATCTGACATCAGCAATGCTATCTCTAGTTCCTCTTCAGAATTCAGCTTGAATTTCTGGCAGTTCCCTGTCAATGTACTGTTGCAACTGCTTTTGAATGGTATTCAGCAAAATTTTACTGGCATGTGATATTAATGATATTGTTCAATGATTTACACAATCTGTTGGTTCACCTCTCTTTGGATGGGCAAAAATATGGGTATCTTCCAATCAGTTGGACACGTAGCTTCATGATTTCTTGGCATAGAAGTGTCTCCTGAGCTGCATCAGTTTGTTGAAAGTTTTCAATCTGTATTCAATTTTAATTTGTATCCTACCAATTCCTGGAACCTTGGTTTTTCACCAATGCCTTCACAGTGTAGCTTGACTTCTTTCTTCAGAATCACTTGGTTCTTGACCATTTGTTATCTCCTGAAATGGCTGAACATCAATCATTTCTTTCTGGTACAGTGATTCTGTGTATTTTTGATGCTTTCTTCTTTTGATGCTTTCAGCATTTTGTGCATAGAATCATTCAGTATTACAAGTTGAGGCTTACATTTTGTTCTCAGCTCTTTAGCTTGAGAAATGCTGAGTAACATGTGTGCTTCCCTTTATGTTTTCTAACTCCAGATCTTTGCACATTTCATTGTAATACTTTACTTTGTCTTCTCAAGCTACCCTTTGAAATTTTCTGTTTAGCTCTTTTACTTCATTTCTTCCATTCATTTTAGCTTCTCTATCCTCAAGAGAAAGTTTCAAGAGTATTTTCTGACATCCATTTTTGTCTTTTCTTTCTTTCCTGTCTTTTTAATGACCTTTTGCTTTCTTCTTGTAAGATGTTCTTGATGCCATCTCATAACTCTTCTGGTCTTTGGTCATTAGTGTCTAAAGCAGAAAATCTGATCTTGAGATTATCTCTAAATTAAGGTAGGATATATTCAAGGTCACATTTGGCTCTCATTTGACTTATTTTAATTTTCTTTAGCTTCAACATAAATTTGCATATGAACAACTGGTGATTTGTTCTAAAGTCTGCCCCTGTCCTTGTTTGGCTGATGATACATACAGAGCTTTTCCACTGTCTCAGTCAATTTGATTCCTGTGTATTCTGTCTGTTGAGGTCCATGTGTATAGTTGTCTTGTATGTTGTCTAAAGAAGGTATTTCCAATTAAGAAACACTGGTCTTGCAAAATTCTATCATGCGGTCTCCTGTATCTTTTCTATCACCAAAGTCACATTTTCAAGTACTGATTCTTCTCTATTTCCAACCTATGCATTCCAGTCACCAGTAATTATGAATGCATCTTGACTACATGTTTTATTACCTTCATAATTGATCATTCAGAACGAAGAAGTAGTTGCTAGAATTATTCAATATCATCATCGTTGGCGTTAGTAGCTGGTACATAAATTTGAATGACAGTGGTATTAACTGGTCTTCCTTGTAGGCGTGTGAATACTATCCTATCATAGGCAGCATTGTACTTCAAGATAGCTCGTGAAATGTTCTTTTTGACAATGAATGCAATGCCTTTTCTCTTGAATTGTCAGTCCCACATAGTAAACTACGTGATTCTCAAATCTGAATGAACAATACCAGTCCATTTCAGTTCACTAATGCCTAGGCTATTGATTTTTAGGCATTCATTTCATGTTTGACAACTTCCAATTTTGCTAGATTCATACTTAGTATGTTTCATGTTCTGATTATTAATGGATGTTTGTAGCTGTTTATCCTCATTTTGAGTTCCGTCCCATAAGCAAATGAAGATCTTCAAAACTTTGTTCCATTCATGTCATTAAGGTCAACTCTAGTTTGAATAGGCAGCTCTTCCCCAGTAGTATTTCGAGTATAGTACAACCTGAGGGGCTTATCTTCAAGCACTATATCTAGCAATGGTCTGTTGCTATTCATAATGTTTTCATCTTCTGGCACTACATCTAACACCGTTTTACTGCTATTCATAAGGTTTTCAGTGGTTAAACATTCTGAAGTAGTTTGATTCTCCATCTTTCTAGTCTGTCTTAGTCTGGAAGCTCTGCTTAAGCCTGTCCACCATAGGTGACTTTGCTGGTATTTAAAATGTCATTGGCATAGCTTCCAACAATATATAAGCCACTGCAGTACGACAAACTGACAGGCAAGTGGTGGTACCATTGCCTAGGATATCAATTGTTAGGAGTTCCATTTCACTTTTAGCAACTTCCAATAGTTCTAGAGTCATACTTTGTGCTTTCATGTTTTAATTATTGAATGTTTGCAATTTTTTCTTATCATTTTGAGTCATGCCATATTAGCAAAGGGAGGTCCTGAAAGCTTTACTCCATCTACATTACAAGGATTAACTCTATGTTGAGGAGGCATCTCTTTCCCAGTAATATTGTGAGTGCCCTCCAACCTGAGGGCATTACATCAATGCTCTGCTGCTATTCATAAACTGGCTTTTATGAATAGTAAGTTTTTTTTAAACTAGAGCGCCAGGTCCTGTTTCCTATTTTGCCTTAGTCTGGAAGTTCCCCTGAAGCTTGTCCACCAAAGATGACCCTGTTAGTATTTTAAATACCAGCGGTATTGTTTTCAGCACTACAGCAAGCAACACACAAGCCACCACAGTATGACAGATTGACAGATGAGTGGTGGCATGTGACTGTAGGCACCTTAAATTCAGCTTTAAAGAGAGGAAAACAGGAATAATTCCCATCATTCCTATTTTTTAAGAATTGTAGGATATTTCAAGGATTTAAAAATGATGACAATCTATTTCCCAGAGAGCCAGGCACATGGGTGCTCCATACGTGAATGCTCTAGCTTCTACAGAAAAGGAGATGAGTCTGAAAGAAAAAGATGACAAAGCTGCAAACAAAATATCTCCGTTGTAAAATGAGAATTTTACAACTCACTTTTATAATAGATTCTATGTATATTAAAGTATCACAGTAACATCAAAGTGGAAGACAGAAGTTGAGAATACCATCCCGATCCGCCATGCTGTCAAAGAAGAGCCAGGCTGAGTCGTCCTGCCCATATTTCACAAACGCAACATAGTGGCTTGTTTCGATGCAGAGCACAGCAAATAATTCCATCTTCTGGCAGGGTATGCAACCATGTCTCCAATCCCAGTCAGGTAAATCCTTGGGGAGGGACACAGGGTTATACTTATGATTCAGCCTCTTGGGATGAAGGTGGACCTGAAATGAAAAAAAGAGGACGTCATGATGAGCAAAACACCACATAACAAGTCCATGCACCCACTTACCGTTAATTAACGTATCCCTTACAAATAGCAGCCAAATGTTTACACAAGTCTAACAAATAAGCAGTCAGAAGAGGCACAAAGAGTACCATCTTAATATAAAGTTTAAAAGTTCACTGTGATTTTTAAAGACGCTCAAAACCTGAAGTCTGTTTCCAACTATAAATAATTTACTGTTCAATTCATTAAGTGAAGAAAAACTTACTTGGGTGTTGCAGGTTTTACAAAACTGTTTGATTTTTCCTGCTGAGATATCAGGATCATCATAACATTCTCTGCATTCATACACTGCAAGTCCTCCACAAATCCGACACTGCCTGGGAGCTAAAATGGTAATGGGGGCAGGCAAGATAATCCTTTAAGAAATGCATTCTTTAATTTTTAAAATGAGGAAGAAAAGTTATGCCCTAAAAAGGACAATGTTCACATACTAAAAGAATCTATTCTCCCCTGTACCTATAAATGTTAAATTGGATATCCTTGGATTCATGATACCCTGAAAGACTTTTTCTTGGTACAAATGATAATTTTTTAAAATAAAATAGTCTGTGTCTTTTTCCTAATTTTGAAAGTAAAGCATGTCTGTTTGGTCCAAAGTGTGGTGAGACCTAGGGACTCCTGAACCCATGGACAAGGACATAGCCACAGAGGGCTAGAGCTGAGAGTGAAGCATCCAGCTGATATGAAGTGAGGGGAGATGCACAAGAACATCCAAACTTATAGATAGCAACCATTTGACCTAGCTTTGATGACTTGATGATCAGAACTTGACTAGAGGAAGATAAAAAAAAATTTTTTTTTATTAAAGGAAACAAGTGTAAATTGCTACAATTTGTTGAACTTGACCTATGCTTATGGACGTAGTAGTTCGAAATACCAACTGAGAGGGAAGTAGTCTTCACAACAAGTATCAATCCTATCCCACTATATACAGGGTTGATAGGTATGGGCAACTTAGACACTGACTACCTAAAATGGGGGAGTATAAAGGAGCTCTGGTAGCGTAGTAGTTATGAATTGGGCTGTGAACCGCAAGGTCAGCAGTTCGAAACTACCAGCTGCTCTGTGGGAGAAAGATGAGACTTTCTGCTCCCATAAAGATTTACAGCCTCGGAAACCCTGTTCAGGATTGCTTTGGGTCGGAACTGACACGATAGCACTTAACAACAACAAATAAAGGCACGAAGCGACTAGCTTACAAGTTTTCAAGAAGGAGTTAAGTTTCAGAGTGTGCGGGGGGAAGGTGGAATCCCCACTGAATAGTTTTTCATCTTGTCTAGATGGGGTCTGGGGAAAGGAGACAGGGATAAGATTCTTATTATTCAATAGTGAGCAACTGTTATGACTAATTGCAACTGTCACAACTGTAAAGGTAGAAGTTCTGTAACAAAAAGAGGGTAGTAGTTAATCTTACAGTCCAGAAACAGAGGACCCTAGGACCATCAAGGGAGAAGAGCATAAGCGTAATGCAGGACCTTATCCAGAGAAGCAGCAACACCAGAGATGGAGGCAGAGATGATGACATGGAGAGACAAAGCAGCTGAAGACTCTAGACTCATGGAAAGAGAAAGGCTGAGTGCTGGCAGCCAGGAGGCAGGCTTACAGAATGTATCATTTGGTTGTTTAACGGATGATATACTCCTGAGTATTTTGTGTACATAACCACCACCACCACCCCAAATAAAAACAAAACCCAGAGGGAACAGAAGCAAATACTGCTGAATGGTAATACACAGAGGAGATTGTAATCATTGAAATGAAATGATGAGTGTAAAACCAGTGTTCTCCCATGTAAACTATCACTCAATTCACAATAAAAACTGAAAAAAATACAACAACAATGTAAAGCATGTTCATTCACGAAAAATTCCAAGATACAAGAAAATACAAAGAAGAAAACAAATGTTATTGTTGTTAGGTGCTGTTGAATCCGTTCCGACTCATAGCAACCCTATGCACAACAGAACAAAAGCACTTATTCATCCTGCACCATCCTCACAATTGTTAACCTTGAGTGCATTGCTGTTGCCACTGTGCCATTCCATCTCATTGGGGATCTTCCTCTTTTTCACTGACCCTCTACTTCATCATGCAATATTATGTCAATATTATTGTGTATTTTTCCAATAATTTTATATCCTCTCATTTATATAACAAAGTGTGGATGCCAGTGTATGTATAAATATATATAGTCCTGTTGGCTAAGCACTCAACTGTCAAAGCAAAGTCAGTGGTTCAATCCCACAAGCAACTTCTCAGTAAACTTACACAGGGGCACTATGAGTGCGAACCAACTTGATGGTGCTTAACAAAACATAAACATTATAGAAAGCATCATTATTTTTACCTTTTCATTGAACATTTTATCATGATCTTTTTTATATACACTGCTTTTCAAAAATATGCATTTTAATGGTAGTAATTTCAATGTACAGTATATCAAAATTCAATTAACTCCTCCCTTATAATTCAATATTGAAGCCATTTCTACTGTATTAATCATGTGTTTATAAATATATTCACAAAGATCCACTTGCATCTCTGATTTTTTCTCAGAATAAATTCCCAGAAACGATATTGTTGGATGGCATTAAGTCTATTCTGACACAGAGTGACTGACTCCGTGTGACAGAGTAGAACTGCTCCACACATTTTACAAACTAACATCTACAGGAATAGATTGCCTAGTCTTTTCTCCTGCTGAGATGCTGATGGGTTTGAACCACCAACAATTCAATCAATGGTCCTGTGCTTAACCATGGCACCACCAGGGCTTCTTAAAGGAAATTCACTGGCTTAATTTTTCAAGGTTCTTTAGACAACAAGTTGCCTTTGAGAAGTATTGAATGTAATTACAATTGTACTCGCATGAATGATAATGACTTGACAATTTCTAAAGACAAACAAACAAATTAAAATCTCTTATACTTACTGTCCTCAAGTAAATCTGTTATATTTAATTCCAGAGAAGGAAAAATTTTCTTAAACAGTTTAAAGTCTTTTCCAAATCGAGGCATCTGAATAATCAGACATGATGGTGCCTAAAAAGGAAAATACATATTTTTACAATTAATGTTCTGAAAAAAGATTTTCCATATAAAACTGAATTAGTCAGATTATCAAACTAAGCAGTGATTTTAGCTACAAGACCATAAAATTGTCTCCAAGAGTGAATGTGAGGTTGGGAGGAAGAGCCTCAGTGAGCTCCAAGTGTGCAAGCAGTCCTCTATCTCATGGACAGACTGACACCCAGAAGTCAGGTCAGTAAACAGACCTGAACTTACATAATGAAATGACTGTCTATTGCAACATTCTATTTTCAGCCTGTCTTTAATCGAAGTTTTGGTGAAATCGTTTTTTTAAGTATAATAAACAGACTGTCGTCACTGACGAAGATTTCAACAAATGTATAACTGTGACTGTTACTGTTTCGCCAAACACTCCTTCAGAAATGAAGGCAGTCGAAGAAAAAAACACATGAGCATGTACTGTAATATCATGAAAGTACTCCAAGAGTAAAAGAAAAATAATTCATATGACATGCTCATTAGCAAACTGATATAAGTGAATTTACTGACATTTTATCTGTTATGAAGGGGGAAAATTAAACTTTCTCTCTTGACATATTTGGAAATACACTTGCATAAAACTTAAAATACTAAATTTATGCAATTAAAAAGAGATGGTAATTTTTTCTTCCATTTGCTTTAAAGTACTTAAAAGTTCTTATGTGATAAATTATCTTGGTGTTTCCTTTGGCATGAAAAATCAAATCTTAATTCTGCACATTTTTCACAAGAACATTACTTAACAGTTTGTGTTTCAAACTATTTTCAGCTGGCTAAATGAACAATTATTCAATCTATAGTAGTTTTCAGAGTCTTAAGGACTTAACATAAAAAATACAGCAAATAATTACCACTAACCTCTGCAAATTTCAAATTACTATTGATAAAAGACCATTCTAACAACTGCTGTATCGTAGGAACTCCAACTTTCTCATTTTTTTCCATAAAAATTTGATAGAAGTAACAATCTTGTACTTTTTGACCCGCTGATCTATAAAACATGCAGGGAAAATATCACATTGAATTTGTACATTTGTACACCTGTATTTGTGAATAGAAAAACTGAAATTTATGGTACAACTATTGATAGTTAGAACACTGGGGAAAAAGACAACTTAGATGAAATTATATGCAAGTAAGCATAATAATGACTTAAAAATGGTTTAATTTTCATACTGAAACGTTATTTTAGGGATCAGAAAAAAAAAAAAGGAATAATATCAGTATAATGGGCTGAAATCCCCAAAGAACATGTGCTGTATACGTAACTCCTGTACCCACAGATGCACCAATCATCTGTCAGTTTGCCATACTGTAGTGACTTGCTTGTTGCTGAGATGCTGGAAGCTATGCCAGTGGTATTTCAAGTACCATCAGTGTCACCCATGATGTACAAGTTTCAACAGAGCTTCCAGACTAAGACAGAGTGGGAAAAAAGGGATCTACTTCTAAAAAGCATGGCCAGTAAAAACCTTATGAAAAATCAGCAGAATATCTGATACAGTGCCAGAAGATGAGGCCCTCAATTTGGAAGGCACTCAAAATACAAACAGGGAAGAGCTTCTTCCTCAAAGTAGAGATAATTCATGACATGAATTGAATAATTCATTGAAGACCTTCATTTACTGATGTGGTATGACTCAAAATGAGAAGAAACAGCTGCAAAGATCTCTTAATAATCAGAACATGGAATGTACACAATGTAAATCTAGGAAAACTGGAAGTCATCAAAACTGAAATGAAATATATAAAGATCTATTAGTAAGTCAAAAAAACCTGTTACTAATCATTTTGAATAGGCTAATCATACAGTTTACTATGCTAGGAATGACAAATTGAAGAGGAATGACATCACATTAATCATTAAAACAATGTTTCAAGATCTGTCCTAAAGTACTTCTCTGCCCGTGATAGGATAATATCCACATGCTTGCAAGGGACACAAGTTAAAACAACTATTATTCATATTTATGCACCAATCACTAATCCCAAAGATGAAGAAATTAGAGATTTTTACCAACTTCTGCAGTCTGAAATTAATCAAAGCATGAATTAAGGTGCATTGATATACTGGTAATTGGAATGCAAAAATTGTTAATAAATAGGAAGGAATGATAGTTTTAAAAACCAGCCTTTATGACAAAAACAATGCTGGAAATCACATAGTAACTTTTATAAGAACAACTTATTAATTGCAAATTCCTTTTTTCAATAACATAAATGGTGACTGTGATAGTTAAGGATTTGTGTCAACTTCGCTGGGCCAAGATTCTCAGTGATTTGGCAGTTAAAATACAGTTGTTGTTGTTGTTGTTAAGTGCCGTCGAGTCGGTTCCGACCCATAGCGACCCTGTACAGGGTTTCCGAGGGTGTAAATCTTTACGGTAATCACCCATAATGAAACTGAATATAATCATTTCCATGATGGCATCTGCATTGTGCAGCCAAGCAGTTATAGGAGGGTTTCCTCAGGAGAGTGACCTGCAACATCTTCAGGAGACTGACCTGCAACATCTTTCATCTTACAAAGATAAAAAGAGAAAGAAATGAGAAGAGAGAGAGACCTGTTGTTGCTAAACACTGTCGACTTGGTTCTGACTCAGCAACCTTCTATAGAGTTTCAGAGAAATAGCTGGTGGGTATGAACTGTCAAGCTTGTGATTTGCAGTTCAGTGTGCCACACCAGGAGTCCAAGAGAAATCTACTACCACCAAAAAGAAGAGCCAGGAGTGAAGTGCATGCTTTGAATCTGGATCCTGCACTGTGAAGCTCCTAGATCCAGGGGAAGATTGATGTCAAGACACATGGAGGTTTCCAAAGGTATTCTGGGCCTACAGATGCTGAAAGGAGATAAGGACCTTACTCCAGAATCAACAAAAAAAGAAAGTCTCCCATAAAGCTGGCCTTCTGAATTTGAAGTTATAGCCTCCTGAACTGTGAGAGAATAAATTTCTGTTTGTGTGGTACCTTGAATTTACTTGATATAGTTTCTCTATGCAATGTCTTCTTCATTCCCACCAATTAGTTGGGTAGGACCAAGCACACAGGGTGTACAGGACTCTAATGGTTAATTGGTTAGTTTTCCCATCCCACTAGGTTTAAAAGGAGCCATGTCAGAGCAAGAACAGATGATCCCAGGACCATCAGGAAAGAAGAGCATAAGCAACAACAGCAGAGGCAGTGGCCGAGGCAATGACATGGAGAGAAGGAACAGCTGTGGGCTGCTAGGTCTATGGACCCAGTAAAGCTGAATTCCTAAGGTCAGGAGGATGACTTGCAGAATGTGCCCTTTGGGCATTTACAGATTGGCTAAAGGAGCTTTGCTGATGCATAAGACACTAAAGACTGAAGATCAGAAGAGTTGTGGGATGACATCAAGAACATCATAAAGGTAGAAAGCAAACGGTCATTGAGAAAAAAAAGACCAAAATGGGTATCAGAAGACACTCTGAAACTTGCTCTCCAGCACAGAGATGCTAAAGTGAATGGAAGACATGAGGAAGTAAAAGAGCGGAACAGAAAATTTAAAGGTCAGCTCAAGAAGAGAAAGTCAAATATTGTAACAAAATGTGCAAAGATCTGGAGTTACAAAACCAAAAGGTAGGAGCATGCTATGCTCAGCATTTCTCATGCTGAGGGAACTGATGAAAAAATTCAAACCTCGACTTGTAATGAAGGATTCTATGGGCAAAATACTGAATGATGAAGAAAACATCAGTAAAAGATGGAAGGAATAAACAGAGTCACTGTACCAAAAAGAAATGGTTGATGTTCAAACATTTCAGGGTAGCATATGATCAAGATCCAATGATCTTAAAGGAAGAAGTCCAAGATGCACTAAAGTCACTGGCAAAAAACAAGGCATGAAGTGGTTGGGTCCCTCAGGGCAAACCCCCTTCCAAGACCAAGACTCAATGGGAATACACGCTCTGATTGATGGCCACATTCATCACCAATAAGGGGAAGTGAGGTAAAAATAGCAATGAAACTGCGTGCTAAGCCCTACAACGTTCAATAGACTCCTGTGAACCCAGGTGGAGACCTGCTTGGCCAACAGTGTGGCAAGACCTGGGGACTCTTGGGCCCAGAGTCAGTGACATAGCCATGGAGGACTGGAGTGGAGAGTGAAGCATCCAGCTGATAAGAAGAGAGGGCATATGCATAAGAACACCCACATTTGAGATAATACCCATTTGACCTGGCTTCAATGACTGGATGATCAGAGCTCAACTAGAAGAAAGAAGAGGAAAAAAAGATACAATTTGATGAACTGGACCTACACCTATGGATACAGTAGCTCAAAAGAGGGAACACATTTTTACAGCGAGGATCATTCCCACCCACTCCATACAAGAGTAGACAAGGATGGGCAACTTGGACATTCGCTACCCCAAATGGGGGCGGGGATGGGCTACAAAGGCAAGAAGTAACTGGCTTACAAGCTTTTACAAGGGAGCCTAGATCCAGAGGGCATGGAGGAAAGTAGAATCTCCACTGTGTATTATTCAATCTCTCTGGGCGGGGTTGATGAAAGGAGATGTGCATAGGTCTCTTGTGATGCAATGGTGAATAATTGTTATCAGGACTGATTGTGAGGGCTGGAAATGTAAAAGTAGTAAATGTAAAAAAGGAGGGGAGTGACTGACTTTGTAGTCTAGGAGCGGAGGTCCCTGGGACCATCAAGGTAGAAGAGAGGAGTACAGGACCCTACCCAGAGAAGCAATGACGCCAGAGATCGAGGCAGAGATGACGACATGGAGAGATGGAGTGGGTGGATGGGAACTCTGGACCCAGAGAAGGAAGAGGGGCTGTGTGCTGATGACCGGGGGACAGGCTTGCAGGGTATATCCTTTGGTTGGTTGATGATGCACGGAGGGGACTGTAATCATGGCAATGAAACGCTATACGATAGGATGAATGCAAAGCTAATATTTTCCCATGCAACTAATCACATAATTCACAATAAAACATTAAAAACAAAAACAAAAAACAAGGCTCAGGAAATTGATGGCGTCAAATTGAAATCTTTCAGCAAAGTAATGCGGCATTCGAGACACTCACTCATCTATGCCATGATATTTGGAAGACCTGGCCAACTGAATGGAAGAAATCTGTATTTGTGCCCATTACAAAGAGAGATTGTGGAAATCATCAAACAATATCATTGATATCCCATGAGAGTAAAGCTTTACTAAAGGTAATACAGAAACAGCTGCAACCATACACTGACAGGGAACTTCCAGAGGGTCAAGCTGGTTTCAGAAGAGGCCGTGGAATGAGGGATGTAATTGCTGACATCAGATGGATCTTGGCTGACAGCAGCTAATACCAGAAAAATGTTTACCTGTGCATTATTGACTATGCCAAGGCTTTTGATTGTGTGGATCATGACAGACTATGGACAACATTACGAAGTATGAGTATCCTGGAACACTTAATTGTGCTCATGAGGAACCTGTACATAGATCAAGAGGCATTTGTTCGAACAGAACAAGAGAACACCAATTGGATTAAAATTAGGAAAGGTAGTGTGCCAGGGTTGTATTCTTTCACCATGCTATTCAATCTGTATGCTGAACAAATAATCAGAGAAGCTGAACTATATGAAGAAAAACATGGCATCAGGATTGGAGGAAGACTCATTAACAACCTGCAATATGCAGATGATACAACCTTGCTTGCTGAAAACCAAAAGTACTTAGAATACTTATTGATGAAGATCAAAGGCCAAAGCCTTCTGTATGGGTTGCATCTCAATGTAAAGAAAACAAAAATCCTTACCACTGGACCAATAAATAACACCAAGATAAATGGAAAAAAAGATGGAAGTTGTCGAAGACTTCATTTCGCTTGGATCAACCACCAACACTTATGGAAGCAGCAGTCAAGAAATCAAATGAAGTATTGCATTAGGCAAATCTGCTGCACAAGACCTCTTTAAAGGTTAAAGAGCAAAAATGTCAGTTTGACAACTAAGGTACGCCTGACCCA